CAGTAGTCCTTATTCTAGTAAGGGATGTAGTCAAGATCCTGAGCAGGTGATTTTGACAATTTAAGTTTTTCGACTTCTTCATCTTGATATTGTCTTGTACCTCACATGAGCATATTGTTCACTCTTGCTGCAGCAATACTCAAAATCAGAGTCAGCCAATTCGACAAAAAAAAAATAAAAGGTAAAGGTTTCCAGGGCAAGGCAAGACAGGGCAGTAGTCCTTATTCTAGTAAGGGATGTAGTCAAGATCCTGAGCAGGTGATTTTGACAATTTAAGTTTTTCGACTTCTTCATCTTGATATTGTCTTGTACCTCACATGAGCATATTGTTCACTCTTGCTGCAGCAATACTCAAAATCAGAGTCAGCCAATTCGACAAAAAAAAAATAAAAGGTAAAGGTTTCCAGGGCAAGGCAAGACAGGGCAGTAGTCCTTATTCTAGTAAGGGATGTAGTCAAGATCCTGAGCAGGTGATTTTGACAATTTAAGTTTTTCGACTTCTTCATCTTGATATTGTCTTGTACCTCACATGAGCATATTGTTCACTCTTGCTGCAGCAATACTCAAAATCAGAGTCAGCCAATTCGACAAAAAAAAAATAAAAGGTAAAGGTTTCCAGGGCAAGGCAAGACAGGGCAGTAGTCCTTATTCTAGTAAGGGATGTAGTCAAGATCCTGAGCAGGTGATTTTGACAATTTAAGTTTTTCGACTTCTTCATCTTGATATTGTCTTGTACCTCACATGAGCATATTGTTCACTCTTGCTGCAGCAATACTCAAAATCAGAGTCAGCCAATTCGACAAAAAAAAAATAAAAGGTAAAGGTTTCCAGGGCAAGGCAAGACAGGGCAGTAGTCCTTATTCTAGTAAGGGATGTAGTCAAGATCCTGAGCAGGTGATTTTGACAATTTAAGTTTTTCGACTTCTTCATCTTGATATTGTCTTGTACCTCACATGAGCATATTGTTCACTCTTGCTGCAGCAATACTCAAAATCAGAGTCAGCCAATTCGACAAAAAAAAAATAAAAGGTAAAGGTTTCCAGGGCAAGGCAAGACAGGGCAGTAGTCCTTATTCTAGTAAGGGATGTAGTCAAGATCCTGAGCAGGTGATTTTGACAATTTAAGTTTTTCGACTTCTTCATCTTGATATTGTCTTGTACCTCACATGAGCATATTGTTCACTCTTGCTGCAGCAATACTCAAAATCAGAGTCAGCCAATTCGACAAAAAAAAAATAAAAGGTAAAGGTTTCCAGGGCAAGGCAAGACAGGGCAGTAGTCCTTATTCTAGTAAGGGATGTAGTCAAGATCCTGAGCAGGTGATTTTGACAATTTAAGTTTTTCGACTTCTTCATCTTGATATTGTCTTGTACCTCACATGAGCATATTGTTCACTCTTGCTGCAGCAATACTCAAAATCAGAGTCAGCCAATTCGACAAAAAAAAAATAAAAGGTAAAGGTTTCCAGGGCAAGGCAAGACAGGGCAGTAGTCCTTATTCTAGTAAGGGATGTAGTCAAGATCCTGAGCAGGTGATTTTGACAATTTAAGTTTCTCGACTTCTTCATCTTGATATTGTCTTGTACCTCATATGAGCATATTGTTCACTCTTGCTTCAGCCCCACATAAAGTCGCAGTCAATCAATTCGACAAAAAAAATTAAAGGCAAAAGTCTCCAGAGCAAGACAAGACAGGGCAGTAGCCCTTATTCTAGAAAGGAATGTGGTCAGATCCTGAGCAGGTGATTTTGACAATTTAAGTTTTTCGACTTCTTCATCTTGATGTTGTCTTGTACCTCACATGAGCATATTGTTCACTCTTGCTGCAGCAATACTCAAAATCAGAGTCAGCCAATTCGACAAAAAAAAATTAAAGGTAAAAGTTTCCAGGGCAAGGCAAGACAGGGCAGTAGTCCTTATTCTAGAAGGGGATGTAGTCAAGATCGTGAGCAAGCGATTTTGACGATTTAAGTTTCTCGACTTCTTCATCTTGATATTGTCTTGTACCTCATATGAGCATATTGTTCACTCTTGCTGCAGCTCTACTGAATGTTACAGTCAGCCAATTCGACAAAGAAAATAAAGGCAAAGATTTCCAGGGCAAGACAAGACAGGGCAGTAGTCCTTATTCTAGAAAGAGATGTGGTCAAGATCCTAAGCAACCGATTTTGACAATTTAGGTTTCTCGACTTCTTCATTTTGATATTGTCTTGTATCTCATAAGAGCATATTGTATTGGTTTTCAAGACCAATATGCATTCTTGACTCTTGCGGCAGCCTTCCTCAATGTCACAATCAGCCAATTATAATCTATCATAACAAAGCATTTGACAAACAGAAAAATCAAGGCAATGACTTCAGGACAAAACAAGACAGAACGAGATCGATATACTCTACACATTTGCGGCGGTCCTTGTTCTAGATTTTGCACGTATTGGATTTCTGACTAATTTTTTTGAAATGAGGGTCTCTGTTATTGGTGTAGTCTGTACTATATCGTTAATAAACCTTGGTTCATTAGTTCATATTCAGTTTAAAAGTCAAGTTTTCTTTCGGAAAGTAATTTAACTTTTCAAGGCGAGGTAGGACACGTAATACCCACCAAAGTATCTAATTCGTGCGGGGAACCAGTCATTTAAGTGAACGCCAGACAAGGGACTTGTTGCGAAACTTTTCAATCTAGTTTAAGTCCCTTGTTAAACCCTGTAGTTGTGCATCTTCTTTTCACCTTATTTCGAAGTTTTAATGACCAAGCCGCTTAATAACTTCATAACCGATCCTTACCTTCCAGGCTTCCAGCAAGGTAACTGTTTAAAAATACATCCAGTGGTTGCACTTTAACTGATTAAGCGCGACACCGAAATCTAATTTCACGATCAAGTTGAAAAGTTTTGCAAGCAAAAGTTTAGATGGATGATGTTTGCACTAGTAGATTAAAGAATAAAGCACGGATAATAAATTAAAAGAAACTGGAAAAGAAAATATCACAAATGGCGTGGTGAGCGCCATCTGTAGTACGATGCTACATTTGAGGATTACGTGTGCTCCAACAAGGTCCATTTAAATATATGGATGTCTACTTGCTGAAACGAATCCCGGCGTAGCTCACCTCAACGTGATAGGCACGTTACCATAATCGAACAAAATAATTCGAATTGGTCTGTATTCCGTCGAAACTGCCAGACGCGGATCGCGATCTCGATCTTTTTGGATCTCATCAGCGCGTCGCAGGCAACTCCGACAGAACACAGAACGTAATCCTCAAATGTAGCATCGTACTACAGATGGCGCTCACCACGCCATTTGTGGTATTTTCTAAAACGCGCTGTTAAGACAGCAGGTAAAGGTTGGTCTGTGTTCTGTCGGAGCTGCCTGCGACGCGCTGATGAGATCCAAAAAGATCGAAATCGCGATCCGCGTCTGGCAG